GTGCGCATACGGTCCCACAGCAGCCACGTGCTATAAATACTGCATTCCTGGTGCCACCTTTACCTCTATCTGCGAATGTCTCTGATGATGGGCTCGAGTGAGAACCCGAAACGTCAGGCCAATAAACTTCTTGTCCCAGTGATCGCATCTTCATCTTCTGTACTTGCTATCTCCATCGGGACACCCTCAAATTTATCCGGTATCAAATGTGTCATTTGGCAATTTGAGACCCTGCAGATACCAAATTTCGACATTTAATCTGGGTCCTTAACTTTTCCTGAAATGAAGAACGGTGGGCTCGGGGATAAGTAGCTCTTGAGTCATGTTCCTATAGTGTCTACTTATGCGACCTAGGTGAGCGCATACCGGGGATGCCTGTACAAACGTGTTCACGAGACCAGAAGGGTGGCTTAAGACAAGGTAATCAGCGGAAACGGTAAGATAAGACGTAAACAGAAACTGTCGTTCTCACCAGTTGAAGTATAGAACTGCCAACCAGAGTTATGGTACGAAAGAGAAGTAGGGCGATCGGTTGTCGACATTGTCGACTGGCGTTTTCCTGCGGCCTGGCGGACGACTAGCAGAAAACCAACAGAGTTCTACGAAGCTCACTGGCACTCACAGTCCGATTGTGTTGCGCATCAGGATTCATGTGCTTTGCAGAGTGGCGTAGTCAGAAATATCGGGGAAGTAAAGCGAATCAGTGAACAATTCTCTAGAGCAAATTATTTGTGGAATTTAGTCTTACGATTCTTGCTTTTGCTCATCTACTCGGTAGGCACGTTTAGAATTGCGTCACTGATGAACGGCTTTGTACTAGTTTTCGGTGTCATCGAGGCAACCAAATCGGTGCAATCAACAACGTTGTGTTGATTATATTTGAGTATCCGTTTGCATCAGATCCGTTTATAGACTGCTGGATTTAACATTGTAACTCCCATCAAGGGCCACGTGTCGCACTTTGAGGTGAAAAGGTCTGAAAGCCTGTGCTCTACCAGTATCAGTAAACCATGGCTCTCGCAGCCTAGTGTGCACTGGCAGTTCTCTGGCACCTATTTCCCTGTCAGTAGATGCACTTGCGCTCCCACTGGGTGTACAGGTCGTGAGCATGGCTGTCCAGGCGTCCTCGTCTTTCTGACCCGTTGTGCTGTTGGCAAAAATCGTGGTCAAGTGTTTGCTGTGGATCAGAGGCACGCCTAGGTGCGGTTTCGGTCGCGCTAGCCACCTGCGCCCTCCCCTGCCTCCGGTCTTCTTAACTATGTCTTGACACCGGGCCCAGATGGGGCAAGAGAGAGTGCGGTATATGCCGCGCAAGTCTGCTCTTACCATAAAATAATTCACGTGCAATTCGCCATGCCTGCACTCACCTTGCCGTGGAGCACACGGTGGACATTGTCGAGCACGACGGTCGAACTGTTAGGTAAAAGAAGCAAGGATCAACTCGGTCGATCGGACCTAACCGGAAAGGTGAGGATGCTGCTGTTAACGACAAAGAGTCTCCAATGTCATTACAAGCGCATTTCAAGCTACCTACACCAAATAAGTAGACACCCCGTATGAATGTATCCAGCCAGTAGAGAGTACTTATTTTTGTGTCCTACAAAAAAACTTCACTTGGGTCGTGAAAATAAGTGTAAAGAACAACTCTATATGCTTTGTTCGCAGAAAACCACGCCTTTTTTCCTCTCACCAGGGAGAACCCGCAACGATACTACTTAAATGGCACGCCCCTAGCACTGCCTTCCTTGGCAGGATCAATTAGATTTTTACAGGTTAGCAAAATTCCCATCTATATAACTCACCTGTAAGGAATGGCACCATCTTGAAACTTCGAAACGGAACCCATAAAGTATTCCATCTGTGAGAGAAGTTCTGTAGCATGTGTCTTTAGTCAGTCAGTATATTTGGAGTAAACGACAGAAGCCATGAAAACTCCATTTAGAGGGTACAGGTATAAAGTAAAATAGTTAAATTGCAAAAATTTTGCTTGCAGTTTTAGTAGGGAGAATTCATAAATCTAATAATGTAACATAAAGGTGAAAGGGGTATTATATTCGCAAAATAATTGCGAAAAACTTTGTTCACCGCATTCGGACTGTGAAAATTTCAATATGGGCTAAGTTTGACGCAAAAATAGGATCTGTTGAAATTATGTTAGTAGTATATTTATAGTCATTTCAATAATCCGTTAGATCAGGCTTCGGCAGTTTGGGTTGCCTTTCAGCAGGTGAGTATCCAGTTGTCCCTTGAACACGTTCACGGTAGGGGAATTAACAACAAACTCCGGCAAAGAGTTCCATTGCCGAATGACCCTCTGTGAGAAAAAGGAGAAACGTTGATTTGTGTGGCACAGTTCCTTTTTAAGCTGGTAATCATGTCGTCTGAGATTGGACTTGGGTGCTATTTCAAAAAACGTTTCCCAGTCGACATCCAGATTAAGTCCTTTTACCAACTGGAACGTTGCTATGAGGTCACCTCTGTCCTGCCTGTAGTGGAGGGGGTAGAGGTTTAAGGCCGTCAGGCGCTGCTCGTACGTGAAGTTTTTGAGGCCATGAACAGCCTTTGTAGCACGCCGTTGTACACCTTCAAGGATATCTATATCCTTCCGAAGCCACGGCCGCCAAGCCTGTACCGCATATTCCAGGTGCGGCCGCACAAATGTCCCGTGTACTTTGCCAAAGACATCTTTATTCAAGTGAATAAACGTTCTGCGTATCGCGCTCATAACGGACATTGCCCGCGCAGCGACTTCAGAACACTGCGTGGCGACGTTTATATCGTCTTTAATGAATACACCGAGATCTTTTTGCACATCTACGGTTTTAAGTGTTTGATTATCCAGGAGATACTGTCGTGGGGGTGCATTTGTTCTTCGCCTCGCTGATACTACGTGCATTACTGCACATTTTTTGACGTCAAACACGACCTCAATCGTATATTTCAAAACTGCATGGAAGTTCACCCGTCTCAAACGATTATGACCACCACTGTCTCGGGGGATCAGCGATCTGTGCGCATGTTTGATTATACTGAAAGGAATCATTTGGTTCGCACTCTTTTCCCACGCTCGTCGCGTTCGAATGGCGGGACAAGGCCAAGGTGAATGAAAATGGGCGCGGGCACGATCGTTTACTACGTATTTCGGTTTCACTCTTCCCTGAACATAAATGGTCCCTACGGCGTATTTTGGACGACCGTCAACAACCCAGGCCACATTGAGTTACTGCATCCGACCATCAATGCTGAGAACGGCAAACTGATTCTCCCACTTAGCAGTCTTTCGAGCTACGTGGTAGGCTAAATGTGGGTGAGTTTCCCCATCGAGGACCAACGTTCAAAAAACGCAGACCTGGTCCCCATCACCCCTTCCCCTCTCATCAGAGAGAGGCCGATTGGGGATTACACCGCGGAAAGACCACCTTGTACAACAGGGTACACGGTAGTGCAGCCAATCCATTGGGGTTTGCCCCCCACTTTCCTTGTGGACGTTCCTGTCTGGTATTTGCTTAAAGGCATCTTCGGAAATCCCCTGTACAGAGGCAGTTCCTGAAGCTCATACAATGAAATACATCTGAAGTAGAAATGTGGAACCTGTGAATAGTGGGAAGCATGTGCGTCCAAGGACACGGCTCAGACTAAGAACGTTTTTAATCGAAATGCCAGGATCTTGAATTGATAAAGTCCTGAGATGACGCAGCTATAATAAAACCACATCTGTCCGACTTTTTAAGAGACATGACGCATCTTACACAAGCATAAAAAAGTAATGGCAGACCATTAAGTAAACAGTATTTTGTCCAATAAACGTGTAGTGTTCAGAGGGAATCGTTAGCAAAGGGTGAGAATGCCCCCGTGTTCGAGAAAATCCAGATTATGTGTCATAGTTGCAACTTTTGCTGAACTCCGTGGTGGAGATGAGCTTATGATTGCATGAGTTTCGCTGCACCGAACTCTCCACTAATAGCCTGTATTTCTAACTACTACCGTTACCTGTTACTCATGTTCATCCTTCACCCTGGAACACTTAAAAAGATCGAACAGGAAGTATATATGTGAATTTATTTGTACACGGCAGCGGTATGCTTCTCCTTCTCAGATGGAATAGGCTCCTGGGAGTGATTAAAGACCCGAACGTTTCGCTGTTTCCGGCGTTCCTTAGCACGGATAATTTTGTGTTCATTGGTGGCCACCAAGATTGCCTTGGGGACGTGACGGTTTCGAAGAATTTTGCGCACTTCGGGATGTTCCTGAAACTTCGCACGCAGAGCCTCCGCCGATGCATAAGACGCCTTTTCACGCGGTTTAAGCTGGCAGAAAGACACGAAAATCTTTCAGTATGCAAGTCTTAAAACAATGCCGAGTATCAGATATATTTTCATAACAATCGCATATAACATAAACGGTAGGGACAGCATAATCTGCATTTATAATGGAACAAAAATGCAAAGGAGACCGGCAGAAGGCGCATCAAAATGGAAGACGATGGTAAGTCTGTGAGCAGTGTGTTCGAAACGAATGGAATAGGTAGCCCAGGAAGCATCCACTAACTGAGAAAAATTAGCAATTCCGAGTTCATTTAGTGGAAAGACAGCACTGTGTCCAGAAGCACACAGAACGATACTTTCCCAGACACTATTTACAGAATGCTCAGATGGAGGTTTACTTGCTAAATAATAGGAAGTGGTGCCGTACACCGTCTTATGTAGCGCCAACATTTACTGCACCCAAAACTCATCGTCAAACTGAGTAACGAAGCATTTGCGCGTGGGCGAATGTGGAGCGTCGATTGACAAGGCATAGAGACTTAGAACAGGCGATCGGGCAGAAAGTAAATCCTGAAATTGAAGGTCTGTGCATGCAAAAACGGGCTTGCAATTCAAAAGGAAATTTCTTAAATGTCAATATTACCGCTCCAAGCTTTTCGCTTGCATGTGCCTTCCATAGTCGGACATTCTGATCAGTGGAGGATGAGAGGAGGAATCGACCGTCCAAAGTAAATTTGATCTTTAGCACACGCTTCATACGGCGGGTATGATACACATCAACGGAAGACGTTGTTTCTGTACTCCAAATACGAATCTGAACGCAAAGATCAAAAATAAATCACGTAATCTCCCAGCCGGTAATGGATCGTGACAGTATTAGGCATTGACAAATCTGTTCGGGTGCCTACCGTGTCATCATAGCTGGCAGATGCGAACTCACGCCCCGAAGGGGAGTAATCAACATCCATGACCGCGTTTGTGTGGCCAATAAAAACCCTCCTCGGATGCTTAAAGAAGCGACAATCGAAAGTATACAGATTGTAATCTTCGGAGGCCGCTGTGAAAATGAAGGGTTCCATTGGGTTCCATGAGAATGAGTTCAACTTCAAATTCATTTTGACCTGTATTCAAAAGTGCATAAGAAGAAGGCAGTGACGAGACCGATATGAATGGAGACAGAGAAGGGAAGCCAGATTTAATGCCCTCATCCTCCGCAAAGTCAGTGCTACACGTCTGACTACCCCGCTCTGTCACCGTACTCAAACTTTCCCGAAGCGTCAGTGGCCAACTGGCACAAGAAAACTGACAGCTTCGAGTCGCTAAAGTATTGCACTTTTTTGCGAATCGGTTGCATTGTACCTTGCGGGTGCTGAAGTTAAGATGGCAACCCTTGCATCCATAACAGATCTTGCAGTCCTTAGGACAGTCCATAAGTCAAAAGTAAACTGGCAATAACCCCAGGGACTTTCTACGTCATGGAATAGACGCCGTGTACAGGAACCACTGACTCCGGGATCATCAATGCCCAGGTGGCCAGCTTTTTTGTCTTTAAATCTGTGTAAAACTGCTCCAAATCCAGTCATTCGAAAAAAGATACTGGCACTACACAACCATTGAAAATATAAATGGTAAAAACTGTAGGACTCTTATTCCGCGCAGGTAGAAGTTGCCAGTAAAACATAAAGTTTAAATTCGGCATGTTGCCGGGAGAGGAAAGATGTGAAATTTATATGTTGCCAACTGCCGCATTTATACTCATTTAAATATTGCAATAATAGTGACAAAAATTAATACATCAAAAAGTATATGTGCAGGTCATCTGGTTGCCTAGGCCAAGTTGCTTTTGTTGTGATAACAAGTAGAGGCCGACTGAAATTTAGACGTCGTCTACGACGGTGGGCGGACTTTTAATGTAGGTTTCCAAAAACCTAACAGCCTGACCGTGGGTTATTGTCATGCTCTTAGCGTTGAAGTAGGAGGGACGGCGGCATACTGCTGTCCAGTTACAGCTGGTTGCTACCGAAAGGAAAGAGAAGAGACTAAAAGGCCGAGGACATTACCAAAGATATGCTTCTGACTATCCTATATCTCCAGTAGTAACAAATGAATTTTCGGTCACAATACCTTCCGTAAAGGTTGATCCTCTCTTGTATCTGCAAGAATTATGGAGTTGTCTTTCGTGAGTATTCCGACAAGGTTGTGTTCCACAGGGTTGAAAGAGGCATGGTGGACGGCCTCGCGACCCCAAGTCCACTCGAAAACAGGGACGTCCATTCTAGTAGAATGATAAATGAGACAGGACTCTGACGTGCCAACAAGGATGGCATCGGAGGAGGGATGATGATCCAAACAGAGGGGCGTCCAGTTAAGCAGAACTGTATTCAGGGGTTCCTTCCAGGAAGAAGCGATATCATTGTGGTCCATTTTCCACTGTTTCAACTGACTATCCAAACCACACTAAGTAAAGGAAAAATGATTTAGTCTGGAGAAGCGACCTGATACAACTTCATACGAAATGCAAGGTGTGCGTCCAGATTAGTGTACATAGCGCACAGGCAACCTGTTGTTTCTACCAGCAAAACATACGTTTCGGGGAAGTCATAGATTGCTTACACAGATTTTTTGTCTCCTGTTGTTCTATGGGCACTGACATGTCAGAAAACACCCGCACCGTCAAACGATAGTTCACATGATGGCACTTATGCGTCTGCCGTCCAAGCAGTATCGCAGCTGGTTTGGCGAAAAGTTTCGGAAAAACAGCACTGAAAATATGCGGGAGACCACTTATACAAAAGGCGGGCAGACCTATGTGTCTACACTACATGCACACGCGGTCTTAATAATGCGAGAAAATTCATAACACAAACAGTGGCGGTCCAAATTTAAGTTCAAACAAACGACTTTGTAAAAATAACGATATATGCGCCGATATATGTGCTTGGGTGAAAAGTAGTTGATTTGTGCGGAACGGTTGATAATACATTGATTAAATGCTGTGGCAGTATGCCAAGGTTCACGCCAGTGTGATAAAGATGACTGCGTATAAGATTCTAGCATGTATTGTTAAGGTTAAGAAGTTTAGAACGGATCGTCGCAACTTCCTCTTCAAGACATACCGTATACATCAATTGGGACTTGTCATATTGGCATATGCCTCTGACCTCTCCTGCATGAGCAGGCGTCTCATAAAGCCTTCTCCGCGTAGCAATTTCCCAGTACTGGATCTAGAAGCAAGAATAGGCGACGGTCGAAGACAGAATTCGGATACCTTCCCGTCAGCGGTTCCAAAGACAGCTAAACCCACTTTCTCCGTATTCAGTGACATTGTGCTCATGTTGTCGGTTGTGCCCTCAAGACATCCCAAAAATGGTTTGGCCATTAGACGCGAAAGTTTAGCTGAATTCATAGCTCGGATATATTCACGTTCGGAGGCGAAAGGGTGTTCAGCAATATCGTAATTGCGGGGCACTAAAGAAGATTAAACTGGGAAGAATACGCACTTTTGAATATATCGTCCGCGGTTTCGCGCCGATAATCTGAAGGATTACGAGATAGCATGTGAATCTTCATCTCGAATGAACTCAAGACAACATGCACTAAGTGACTTGTTAAATAGTCTAGTGTGGGTAGCCAAGCAGACGGGGGGAAAGGGAGAGCAACCGCAACACCAAAGACAATCAGGAGGGCAATCTAAAAAAACAAATCAAGGTAAAATCCAACGAGTATGATATAAAAAACACAGAGGATCGCAGGAAAAAAAATCATTAGTATGATAATGAAAATCAAAACTCGTTAGTCGGGATAAGTTACCTTATCCAGGTCCACGTCGCCAGTCGTCTCAGACTTGCCCGAAAATAAACTTAAATCAAGTCATCAAGTAAACCATATGACCATTCCAAGCAGTAAGCTTCGTCATGGTCCTCATACCTACTGGTTTCTTAACCTTACCCTTAACCCTAAACCTGATTATAAACCGGGAACTAACTCCAACCATAGCTACTAACCCTGAACTCAGACCTAATCGAGGCTCCAAACCTAAGATCAACACCAACCCTAAAACCGAACACTAACCCTAACTCTTACTCTTATCTGTTTTCTAATTTTAAGCCCTTTTTTACAGAACCGTTCGAAATCCCCAGATCTGAGATAAGTTAAAATTTGTTTATAAGTTAAATATTCGGCATATTTCTGCGTCAATTTTCAATCGATTTTTTATTAGCTGCCGAAAATAGCACATAAATCCCTATAAACTCTTCCAATTAACGATGACCGATGCTAAGTTTGCTTTTGACAAAGTAGATCATTCGGCCATTGTGCGTTTACAGAAGTTTATCGAAAAACATGGACACATTTTTACGATTCTCGACTCACTAACAGACTTAAATACATTCACGAACAGCCTAGCGGGCCTACCACAAATAGAATTGATCATAGGTTTGGGTTCATCAGAAGTCGCGGCTTGATTAAAACGCAGACTCGATTTAAGCATCCGCAATATACCCCACACGGTTATCCCGACACCATCAATTCAAAAACATACATTTTTGTGGCCCAAACATCCGCATAGCTACCACCAAAGGACTTCACTCTAGAAGCGAAAATAAACCCGTCTTAGTAACTGACAGACCGAAGCTGAGCTTGTCCTACAAAACCCTGTATTAAACAGAAATCTGCGGAACCTAAACTCATTTATAGGTCCAGATTTTACGCCGATGCAAAGACTTAAACTTCGGGAAAAAGAGACCATTTACAAACAAGATAGTCAGCACTCCGGTCCCCCAACTGAATCTCTAGCTACTACAGCTATTTCTGGCACTAATGAAAAGAAGTGCACAGACCAGCGTAAACAAATTGATAAACCCACAGCCCCCGCAGAAGGACCTCCAGCAAGTACTTCTGACTCTAGTTCTCATGACAAAAACGCGTAACTGCAAAAGCAGTTAGGGCTGCTGGACAGAACCAAATGAGGGAGGCAAAACAGAAAAACAACGTTCAACAAGAACAGGACGATGGCGCAGATGCCGGACCCAGTCATGTGACACCATTAGGTAGCAATATACTTTTTACTACGCCCCCCAAAACCGATCAACCGGTACTAGAAATCGACTGCCAAACAAAACACAAAAACCATAAGGCCTTATTAAGCACATCAGCACAACCAAAACGTCCCGAGTATGTAGGCAGATCAAATAGAAGTTATCCAAACTCTAACCAGAAAAAAAAGCTTCAAGGCAGTCTTAACCGCTGAAAAGTTGGTCAGCTCGCTGGCTCTTGAATTTTAATGTTGACAAATGTGTGGTCCTGAGATTCCGCACTAAAAGGACCAGCAAGAAGGACGATTCCTATCAATACGTCCTTGGTGGTCAGCCGCTTTAAAATGTTGTGGACCAGAAAGACCTGGGCGTCCAAATGGCGTTCTCACTGAAACCATCATCACAGTATCAAGGGACAGCCAAAAGTGCAATAGGGGTGTTATTTCCGTCGAGGCGAGGATTTGTGCAGATCGATAAGGAGCTGTTCGGGAAAACCTTTGGGGAATGCGTGCGGTCTCCCTTAGAGTATGCAGTCCAGGCCTGCCGACCGTGGTTGAAGAAAGACTATCAACGACTGGAAAGAGTGCAGGCAATGGCTACGAAGATGGTCGAGAATCTTCATCATCTCTCTTACGAACCCAGGCTGACTGAACTAAATCTGTTTCCTCTCAATTACAGGCAACTGCGCGTTGATCTCATTCAAACCTACAGTATTGTCAAAGGCCATGAGTGCGCCCTAGACTTTGATGAATTCTTCGAATTGGTCGGGACTGACCGCCTGCGTGGTCATCTCTTCAAACTTCATAGGAAGCTGGCCCATTCGGGAGTCCGACGGAACGCCTGCTCTCACAGGGTCATTGGGACATGGAACGGACTCCCTGATGCGGTGGTTCTTTCCGAAACTCTCGAATCAGTTAAGTGTACACTAGATGCTCATTTGTTGAGAAACTACTGTACAAACAATCACGATTGTTTTGGCAGCGGCAGTTTTCGCCTGGCTCACACGTACTGTTAACTTTTCAGTGTCCGCATTTGCTGATGTAATTATTGATTCTATTTTTGTTTATCGATATGAATATGGAGCTCAAGGGCGAAAGCCTTATCCCCTTATAAACTGACTTAAACTGACTTATAACTGTATATCGACCCACCAAAATCCACGTGCATGGCATAGGAATAAGCCAAACCACTATAGCATTCCAAACTTCCTACCACCTAATGACAACCCCACAAGTTACTTCGGCTTTTACACCTCCCCAAAAGAAACTCAAGTTAGATACAATTACCATCTAGTTAACCCATCTCCTCACACGTACACTCAATCCATACACACCAACCCATGCAATCAAATTTCGCCATAAGCACCACCACATCCTCCATGAACCACACACTTACCTCCATTTCGTCCATCATTCAGTCAAATTACCCTCAGAAATCCTTTTTTCGCCCACTTCTTCCATATCTGACATCCTAAAGATAGCTCTTCTAAATCTGAGATCGACTGTCAACAAAATCTCCCAACTTAGAACTTTTGTTGAAATATATAACCCGATATAATTTGCATCACAGAAACATGGGCAAATAAACTTATATTGAACGCCTCGCTATATATTCTACATTATATTTTCTATCGGCAGGACCGTGTTAGTAAACGAGGGGCAGGTTGTCTTATCTACACCAAACCTGACAATGAGCAAAGTGGTATTGATGTCCCAACCGAAACCTTTGCTGGAGAAGCGTGTTTTTCCACAATAAAATCTCATACCCAGGAAAACATGCTGGTCGGATGCTTCTACTCCCCTCCAGAATGTAGTAATGAGGGCAAAAGCCTCAATCAGATAATAAACAATATAGCTAACATTAAAGCTGAATGGAAGATAATCACAGGCGACCTGAACCTCACAGAACTAAACAGGGTCGAAGTATCGGCACCTACCAGGCGCGGAGAATTGTTATATTTACTTATCATTAATGACTGAACACAAATATTTGACAAGCCCACCTGATGAAACAATAAACTAGACGTTATCTTCCCCAACGATATCTGGCCCTCTATATGCGCTACGATTGAGAAGCCTTTGAAACTGACCACAACGCAATAATATCAACGTTCCCCTTAAACTCAAAACTCGCAATCGACTTTAGTAACACCCGCCTAAACCCAAAAAACTTGACAACGACTCATGCACAAATATATTAGGTCAGTAGACTGGAGCCCGTATCTTCTAACAACATCATCTATAGAAGCAGTTAACCTATTATACTCTGTCTTATTCATCATTGGAGATACCTTGATAGACGAAAGACGCCCGTATAAGAAGCCACAAATCCCACAATTCCTATCAACTGAACTAAAAAAAACGCTGAAAAAACAGCTACACAACCACTCTTTAAGTTATTTATCCATACTTCGATAAATTGAGGAAATTCACGACCTAGTTAGGAAAATGGAAACACAAAAGATCATAGCAGCAGAACATCGGGCACTAGAATCCCCTAACCGAATAGCTCAGGTGCCCAGGAACAAATGAGTAACCATCAACAGTCGGGACCACGAACTATTATTGATTAATCAGGACAAGTTATAACAAATAACAACCAAATAGCAATGTCATTCAATAAATACTTCTTCGTTAACTACATAGTCGAGGAAGGAGCGACCCCCAATCGACCGAGATGACAGAATGCATCCTTAGTGAGATCCGTTTTAATGAAGAATCTGTTAAAGTACTACTAATACCAACAATAATTGTATTTAATGACAGTTAAAGCGTTAAACTCAAAGCAGCCATCAAACAAATATCCAACGCCAACTCCTATGGGACCGACAAAAGCCCGCCATGTATTCTGAAGCATATGACATATGCTCCAATACTTCTATCTAATTTATTCATCCTACTCCAGTCAAGATCGATTTTACTGGTCATGTGGAAATACTCGACCATTGCACATATCTTTACAAGCGGCAATTGATCCCATACCCAAAACTATCGTGGTGTTCTCCGAACACCGGCTATAGCTAAAATGCTCCAAAAATAGTCTACAACCAATTGCTAGACCATCCCATAAACGTCAACCTCATTCCCCCTCTCAACATGCATTTTTACCCAAAAAGTCATGTCAATCCTGACATTTTACTTTTTTCAAATTCGTTTCCAGCAATAAAGATGACGGAAACACAGTAGCTTCAATAAACTTCGATCTAAGATAAGGCCTTTCACAAATTCCCCTGAAAAAGATTACTGATAAGGCTAAAAAGTCATGGAATTAGCCCTCCCCTTCTCGATTTTGTTAAATCCTATCTTCAAAACTGGCATAAAGTGGTTCAAATTCGAAACGTAGTCTCGGAACCACCCCTCATTACCAGTGGAGTGCTGCAAAGCACTATCCTATTCTATTTCTCATATATATATTCACGACTTATCATCCATATCACTATCAACTAAGAGGCTTTATATGGGGACGAACTGAAACTTGCATATACATATAACGGGAATACAGTAGCTAATATTCACAGAGCAATCGAAAATTCGGCAAATGGAGTAGTCAATGGCAGATGCCCTTCTCGCCCGAAAAATGTCATCTCCTGATCTTTGGCCCACATAAACTTCCCCCGTAATATTCGAGGATAATAAGATAACGGTAGCCCCATCGATAAAAGATTTAAATCTCAGCTATACAAATACCCTTGACTTATCTCCCCACGTCCAACAAATATCACCGAAAGCCACTCGCCAGTGTGGATTCATATGAAAAAATTGCCCCTTAAATGAACGAAAAATACAACTTTTCAAAGTATACGTTTTTCTTCTCCCAGATTATTGCGCACTTTTCTTCGGCATAATACCCTCAGACGGCTCAAAGAAACTAGAAGGCATCCAGAAACGTTTTACTAGATCTTTGTCCAGAAGTGATGGCACCCACAGTTCATACTTTAAACTATATCATAAATAAGGTCTTCGACCCCTCTGCACAAGAAGACTCCTAAATAGTCTAAACTTTCTATTCATGGTCACCCATGGCCAAGATATTCTCAACATGAATTGACTAACAAACCAAAACGCCCCCAGAAACACTAGAAATAACGCAGCTAATATAAGGATCCCCAAATTCACAAAGTCCCTACGATCAAATTTCCACTCCATAAGATATGCCACTATCGGGAATGCTCTTCAAAGTTCTATCCGGAAAAGTTGAAACTCAATCGAGTTTAAACTAAAAACTAAGAAATTCCTTTCAAATAACAATACACATTTATTTTTGAATAAGACAGGACATTTTTCAAGTCGATTCTTTTGTACACAATTTGGTCCAAGAGGGCTCTAATGATACCAGCCGCTTAAATAATACCGGAGCATAACATTAAAAACAATCAAATTTATGAAAGACAGCATCCCTGATAAACATAGAACAGATAGGGATATTCGTTCCTCCCTTTCTCGTTTCCATCAGCTGTCATCTGTAATTAAACATTCCTTAAGGAGTTAATAATAACATCCCTTTCGATAAAATCCAGCATATTAGTTGTGCGTACGTTTGTATTGAGGCCATACTTAACATATATACAACTATATTAGAGCATCGTAAACAGTCAACCATTATTTCTATAATGTCACATTCTCAAGAACAGTATAATACATGATTCAATATTCTTTTGACATCTTTGCTTGTGACTTACCATTGAATGTTTCTTCAAAGTAATATCCGCGTCGTTTGAATTCGCTTTGAAATTTTGGACCTCCGAGGGACTCAACTTTTTCACATCTCCTGAGTGCTGGACACCCTAGCACCCTGGACACTCTGGACAACTTGGAAATACCTCGGTTCTCACAGAATTGCAACGGGATTTTCGTCCGAAAAACCTATCTCCTTCCGACCCCATCTTTGGCAACTGCACCGCGATATTCCCCAAATACAAGAACGGCTGAGTTGCTTGCTATTTATTTCATACCGTTGTTCTGGCTTAAAATCGTTTCCATACCGTTAAAAACGTCTCAAGTTTATTGACTTAATAATGGTAGTCAATCAAGGGTCCCCCAGACATTGGGCAAGTGTTCCACCTCGGGCTGGGGTCGAACCTGGGCACAAGAGTTACGCTGAAATTGTCGCTATCACTGCGCCATTGACGCTCCGCGGGCAGCTTGACAAAGATGACAAAATAACCGATGGACGCTGTATAAATGGCTACTGCCATAAGTCACCTGCTGCCAAATCACCTCACGCCAAACGCGCAAAAAGTCTGATAATTTTATTGGATGTTAAATACGAGGACGAAACCTGCGCGTCGTGTTTTAGACTTCTTCATAAACTCTTGGAGATGGAGGAGGATATATGGAATCTAAAAATTGAGATGGAGAAGCTGATAAAACCTCCTCACCATTCACCCGAAAGGAGAGAGATGGTGATGTCGGAAATTCAGAAGATGACCAGAAAAACTGCCAATACGACCTCTTTAACGGTGTTCGCCCCTGAAAAATAAGACAGCCCGTCTACGGACCCAATCACAACGGAGAACCTGCCTCATGTGCAAAAGAAAAATAGCCGAAGGGCATCTCAAAAAACGAGGAGACGTCTCAAAGTATCCCAAAAAGACCAAGTAGGTCAGAGCGTCAGCAGGAGGGGGCAGAGGCCCCAAAGAATGCAAGCAAATGCCTCACTGACAAAAGAGTTACCACATGACCAAGAAGCCTCGATAAACGAGTAACCCTGCGGTAGCTATACCATGACAACTCTCTCTGAATTGGACAACAAAAAGTTTCGCGACGCAGACTCTGCATATACAAATGAACGACAGTGCCCTATTGATAGCGATAAATGTATCATCGTTAAGGGTATGCTTGAGTCTTCTTTAAACATCCCAAAGAACAGAATAAATCACGATCTATAGCTATTCCACCAATACTTCAAATACCTTTTACAAGACAAACAGAACACCACCGTCTTGAAAGCTTTCAGAATAGGACAAATTAGGGATCTGAAGGGCGAGTCGAGCCATAATCGATCATCGATATTTGTCCTCAAAAATGAACAACAAGCTCTGTTACTGCTGAACAGTAAACCAGCACTTCGAGAAGCCCAACCAACAATTTTTAAGTGGAACTTATCGTCGGTCGAACGAGAGAAATGGAGGGAACTCAAGGCAAAATTCCTCAGAAGATACAATTCGGGCGAGAAAACCTAAGGATATTTTATACGAAAAACGTAAACGTTCGAAGCTCATTCGTCTGGAGGCAATTAATAACAGTGAGCATAATGAACAACCAGATAATAAGGGAAGAACGCCCCTAGAAGCGAAGAGACGAGTCCTAGGAAGCAGTCTTGAAGAAGAAGACATGATCGCCGGGACAAGAGCTTTATTAACATGACGTTTCGGATTCCTGCTCGAATCCACCATTAGAGACCACAGCAGATACGGTTGAGTCACGCACAAGGGGCTGCAGTATTTATAGGATACAGTCGCCATGCTTCCGCATACCTATGATCATTCACGTCTCCCCTCTTCACCAGAGATCGTTGCACGTGGCGTGATGGTCGACATTCGCGTCGTTAATTGCTGTAATTTCATCACGTGCGTTGGATGTTAGTGTAATGATTGTTCGACCATCTGACTCGCTGACCAGGATATTGGAAAGAGTATTCACCTGTACGCTCCCCGCGTGGCCAATTACTCCGCCTAGGCGAAGTCTCAGCACCGAGTATTGAATGGGAAGATCATTGCACTTGTTAATAGACTGGAAGGCAGTAAACCATGACACAAGCAGTTCCAGGCCCACGCCTCTTGCAAGAATTTCGGTCTCGTCAAATTTAAATGTGTGGCCGGAACCCGTCGAATGAGCCGCAACTTGAGAGCTCGCGTCGTTTCTCCGCACCGCTGCAACGTGTTCGGCCATTTGCGTTTGGAGTTGTCTTCCGGTTTCTCCGACGAAGTTGCTTTGTCCTCAATTGCACCAGATCCGATAAACGACACCAGACGTTTCTTGCCGTGGCAGCACCACTAGAGGTTGGAGTTGCACACAGACCGGAGGCAACCATCAGGCGTCAGTTAATGAAACCGAAAGACCCACTGCCACGACAAAAAACGTCTGGAGTCGTTTATCGTTTTATCAATCAAACATCAGTAGACTGGGAAGGGGATGAGATACGCAAAAATTCGCATGAAATATCTGGCAACTTCGACTTAAAAGTCGTTCGAAAATCTCTCCGGGCTAAGATCCGCTTTCTTTATGAAAATGCTCAGAGTTTGTCTCAGGAACTAGATGAGCTGAAGGTGCGGCTATCAGATAGGCAACCGGATGTCATTTTCATCACAGAAACTTGGTTCTAAGCTGAAGTATTGGACGCCGAAATTACACTCGATGGATACCAACTTTTCGCCGGTACAGACTGCATAAAAAAGGAGGAAGACTAGCGGTCTAAGTCAAGAGAGGAACCATCGCGTCAGAACACAAAATTGATTGCTACCATGACTGCAAAGCACTATGGTTAAAACTGAGGATGCGTGGCGCACCTAGTCTGAATTTCCTGACCGTATACAGGCCGCCCAATCAAACTTCTGAGGTTGACGAGGCGACGTTTGGGTTAATTAAAGAGGTGTCACAAAACCAAGAGGCACTGATGACCGGAGACTTCGGCGCACCGATGGCCCAAAGGGCAAACTGTCTGGGCCTCGTCCTCAAAAAAGACCCAATTAGTGCTGGCGAACTTGGGTCCATATCACTGCTCGGTAAAAGTGGCCATGTTATGCTGTTTTGGGAATACCACCTGCACAGCCAAAAATGGATACGCCTGAGTCTAGACTGAATTTCTGGTGATGGAATTTTGCCGATACATGAAGTGAATTGTCCGTAGAATAGGAGCTCGGCGTTCTTACCGGACATCCAGATGTTAATTGGAACACTCTCAAAAAAGTTGTAACTGACGTTACGCATCGAAACTGTCCGACAAATAGAGTCCAAAAGACAAACCGTACTGCTTAAATAAAGCGGGATATAAAGAAAAAGGTAGACCGGAAGAATAAACTTTGGAGAAAGTATGTAGCAACAAAACAATCTTCTCAGTATGGACAGTTTTACCGAAAGCGAAACAAGGTAAGGTCGAATATCCGCAGATTGTAGAAGGGCAACAAAGGACGGGTTATGGAACGGCCGTCGATAAGCCAGGGGCGCCACGCCTGGATTCCATATTTCAGTTGCTATCGAATAAACGCCTTGTATGCTTTTCCAAAAAAACTCTTTGTCTATATCTATGAAAGTTCGTTTCATGACAAAGGGAACACGGGTTGCCCTTTTGGCCGCCCTAACGCATTGAGAGGATTGCTTAAAAGACGGCAAAATGTTGATCCCAAGGTATTTTTGTTCGGTCACACTTGAAAGAAACCTCCTGCCAAAAAGGTAATGGTGATCCTTTCCATCTCTTCTCCCATTCGTTTTGAGTCGCAGTGCGACACACTTCCCAAGGCTAACTTTCGGCAGCCATTTGTCGGACCATTCACATAGACGGTTCAGTCCTTCTTGCAGGGTCCGTTCATCATTTTTCCAGTTGATCGTTCGACATAGCTTGATGTCATCAGCAAACATGACCCCAGTACAGTCCAGTCCATTCATACAGTCGTTGACATAAGCTAAAAATAGTACCTGTCCGGGCACAGGGCCCTGGGGAACGCCACTCACAATTGGCACTGGCGTTGACTTCGCACTACCAATACACAGAAAATGTGATCGACCAGTCAGCCAGTCCTCTACCCAGTTTAATATGTTCCCTTGGAATCAAAGGAATTTCGCGAACCATTTACAAGTAAATTGTCCAAATCGACCATCGGTGCGCCGAAGTCTCCGGTCATCAGTGCCTCTTGGTTTTGTGACACCTCTTTAATTAACCCAAACGTCGCCTCGTCAACCTCAGAAGTTTGATTGGGCGGCCTGTATACGGTCAGGAAATTCAGACTAGGTGCGCCACGCATCCTCAGTTTTAACCATAGTGCTTTGCAGTCATGGTAGCAATCAATTTTGTGTTCTGACGCGATGGTTCCTCTCTTGACTTAGACCGCTAGTCTTCCTCCTTTTTTATGCAGTCTGTACCGGCGAAAAGTTGGTATCCATCGAGTGTAATTTCGGCGTCCAATACTTCAGCTTAGAACCAAGTTTCTGTGATGAAAATGACATCCGGTTGCCTATCTGATAGCCGCACCTTCAGCTCATCTAGTTCCTGAGACAAACTCTGAGCATTTTCATAAAGAAAGCGGATCTTAGCCCGGAGAGATTTTCGAACGACTTTTAAGTCGAAGTTGCCAGATATTTTGTGATTTCATTAATTTTGCTGATTAGATTCTGTCCATTATTATCACACTTCTTTGTTCTTTTGATCTTTGAAAATTGTTTGGTAGTTCCTTTGACTAATAACTTTTGTTGCGTATTGTTTTTATTCCCAGTTAGACAGGTTTGTACGGTCGGAATAAGATCGAATTTTATTTTTCTTTGGAACACGCCGATGTTAAGTACCCAGGGCCTACGATAAATTTTTCATCGGCGGCGACTGCGTGGTCTTTGGGCGAGAATTTACCTACGAGGGAAAAGGAAAATTTATCCGTTATGTCAGCTAGTACCAGTCATTTAACACTGAGCCCCACATTTGTCACCAGTCCACATCTTGGCCAAAGGTCTATGCCATCTTTTTTATTAACCATATATTATATCGGCATTGTGA